ATAATAAAATATAAAAATTTTAAAAAAATATATATGTATCTGTTACAACTGACCAATTTTTCATCTATCTTTCATATGATCTTTGAAAGTAAAGTTTGACAGCTCCTGATTTCTAGCCATGCTGCTGTGAGCAGAGCACCTGGGTTCCACACTCCTGTGGAGGCACTTTTGTTCGGGGATAGTTGTCCACATTGATCTGTGAGGAGTCCTGCTTGCCATGTTGCTGATGTCATTCCTCAGTACTTTTTACTTTAAGATGTGCTGTAAAAAATGGAATTTTCCCTAAGAATTTTAGATATCCCAAAAATAATAACCTGTAACTTGAGGAATTCAGGACTAAATAAGAATATCTATAAATTATGTCTAGTGTATACTTATTCAATATTCATATTATTTCATATTCTGTTTTGGGTTTTTGATATACAGAATACATTATATGCTTCCTGTCTTGTTTTAGATTTGAACTTTTTTAGTATAATTTCTAGTTTGAATTTATGACAAAGATTCTGAGGTCAGTATCCATTGTGTAGGCGTTGGATAGCCTACTGAATGAGGAATTTTAAGCTTTCTAATAGTGTGACTCTTGTCTTCAGAGTATAATCCACTACTTTGAAATAATAATGAAGACAAATATTAATATTACACAGATAGTTATGCTCATCTTGTTGACCTTGCAGTCTGAATCATGACAGAGACTGCTACAAAGATTAGAAAATGAGACATAAGCACACACATACGTGTATGTGTGTGTCTGACTGTCCATCTGTGTGTTTTGAGACAGGGCCTCCCAGTAGCCCCAGCTGGCCTGGAACTTGCTAGGTAGACCAGGTTGGCCTTGAACTCACAGAGATCCACCTGCCTCTGCCTCTTGAGTGCTGGAACTAAAAGGCGTGTGCCACCATGCCTGAGATAAGCATTTTTTAAATCTGTTGTTTCTAAATCATGTGCTTTGTTACAATGTTTAACCTTCTCTGCATTATGAGTCTTCTTTCTACAAGAATAATTGCAGATAGTGGCTCCATTCTAAATAATTGTATGTCAGGTTTTTAGCATTTTCTAAGAATGTTGCACTTTTTGTAGAACTTTCCACATCTTACTTATTTTTTCTTTTAAAGGTCAGTGGATAAGTCTGTCATCATATATGATGTTGTAAGTATTTCAAAGTCTGTGTGTCAACTATGTAAATGGTTTTTATAGTTAACAGAACTTCAAATTTAGTTATGATAGGAAATCCACATGTGTTTCTATTTATTATGTTCAAGAATATAGTATATATTCTTACAGTGCTAAAATAGTAAGAAATTGATTCTAGGAAAACCCTTAAATATTTCAATAATGTTGTTATGATGGATATATTTTTAAACCTAATCATTGAAAATAATAGACTTAAAGAGCACCAGTGTCCAAAAATTTAGTATACCAAGCTTCCATAGCAGCGAAGGATGCAGGGATTTTGAATGTGGTTTACCAGTAGTCGAGTATAGAGTGGATTAGGACACCCGAATAAGAAAGAGTAAGTTATTGTAGACTTGGAGAATGGGAGTATGGGGGCAGATTTATATGAGTCAACACCAAATTGCATGAATATAAAGAAGAACAAAGGGTTTACATCTAACAAAGATATAGTCAATGAACATATCCTTTTAAGAGAAAATCAATATTGAGTTGCTCCTTATAATGACTGAGTTAGACAGCGGTTAGGTCAAGTCAGTGGAGATGTAAATCATCAGTGTGGAGCCGGTGGTTGGTTATCCACACAGAAGGTAAAGTTCCTGGCAGTTCTGTCCACAAGTAGGAATGACCTTTCAAGCCAGATGAAATAGATCCTTGGTATTTACTAGCTTTTATGATATTTTTACATTCACAAAAATAGTTAATAATACTAACTTTTCTCTGTAAAACACGGGCAAGTCCCGGTTAACTATAGTTCTGTGTTGACTGGTCAGCTAAGTGTACTCTGAGAATTAGTGACTAATTTCTGTTCACTGATCCTGTAATGTGTACAGGTCAGATGCCACAGCAAAAATACAGTGTATTTCATCTAATAGACACTTGGAGTTTTATTAGCAGTCTCAGACAAATCAGCAAATTCCCAGGGTCTGCTAAACTCTAAGAGGGTAGTCAGTATACTGCAGTGCTGGTGACTAAATGAAGAAAGCTCTCGATGTTATTAGTTGTAGATGTCATTCTCTGTGAGAGTTTCAACTTTAGTTCCTAATAATTAGAATGCACATAGCATGTAAAACATGTAAATGAATTTTTATCAGGATCTTTTCTCTTACCTGAGTAAATATAGTTATTTTTGTTGATTTCAGAATACTCAGAATGTCCTTCACACATTGACTCAGCATACCAGGTCTGAATTTAACTTCACTTTGTTTTAGTGTGCTTAAAAAATTAGCCAGAAGATACGTAACAGCTCTTTTTATTAACTAGGTATGTCACAACGTGTGCTTTTGCACCCAATACCCTTTTACTTGCTACTGGTTCAATGGACAAAACAGTGAACATTTGGCAGTTTGACCTGGAAACACCTTGCCAAGGTTAGTAAGTGTCTCGTCCTTTGTTTGCTTTGCATGCTGTCCAACCCAGGACCTTGCACTTACTGGACAAGTGCTCTACCACTGAGCTACATCTCTAGCCCCAGGATAGCTCATCTTTTTAAAAAAACATTCACAGTGACAAATACTACTTACTACATTGAAATAAACATCCATTCATAGTAAGAGGTACTTTCAGTTCCAAACTTCATGTTCACGACAAGCCTTGGAAAAAAGGAACATTCATCTATCATGTGAAAATTAGAATGATGATCCTGTATATCTTAGCTTTCCAATTACCTATGCTTAATTATATCTTTAACCCAGACCAACTGTAATCTGAAATTTAGGCACTCTTTTCTCTTTATGGTCTGGGGATTGAACCTGAGGTCTTGTGCATGCTATGCATGTACTATTTCTACCACAAAGCTATGCCCCCAACCCTAAAATTCAGCAAATTCATCTTTTGACAAGCTATTCACATTGGAATTTAATATACCTTAATAATTTTAGAGAAGCCAGTGTTGTAGTAGTGACCTACATTAAACTACTGGCAAACCACCATGGTTTTTATGTTGTTTGTATTTGATACTTGTTTTTCAGATAAGTATAGTTGAGGACAGAATAGGAATTATGGCTGTATTTTGTTGCCTTTATTTTTGGCTTCATCAAGCAAAATAGGCATACAATTTAGAGTTTTTATTTTTATCATCGTCAGAAATAACCAAGTAGTAGTGCTGATATGAGATGATAGAGCAAATAGAATATACCTTTGCTGATATGAGTATTACACAATGAAGAAAAATTGAGCTAGAGCTGTAGCTCAGTGGTAGAGTGCATGGCTAGCATGTGCAAGGCCTAAAGGAAGTTAAAGCAGTAAAACATAGACTTAAAGAAATTTCATTTACTTTGTAACTCAAAGTTTATAAAAGAAACATTTTGTTGGTAATTCACTTGCTTCTCCCTCCCTCCCCTCCCCTCGTGTGTGTGTGTGTGTGTGTGTGTGTGTGTGTGTGTGTGTGTTTTAAAGCAAGAAGCATTGATGATCAGCTGAAGCAGTTTACTGAAGACTGGTCAGAGGAGGATGTCTCAGCATGGCTTCGTGCACAGGGTTTGGAAGACCTTGTTGGTATTTTCAAGATGAACAACATTGATGGAAAAGAACTGTTGAACCTTACCAAAGAAAGTCTGGCTGATGATTTAAAAATTGGTAAGACTAGTGAAAATCAGGTAATCTTAAAATTTTTAATAATTTAACATTAGTAATTTAAATTAAAAAAAAAATTAAATTACTAAATTTAAAATTTAATAGTTTTTACTGTGATACTGGTTTTAACTGCATCCATAGTTTCCTCTTAATATTCTTGTACAATAATTATCCTAATTTAGTCTTTGTAGGAGAGTACATTTTGGCTATTTGGAGAGAAAATGGATTTTTAAAATACTTATCTTTTTATTTTTACTTTTTTGTTATTTTTATTTTATGTGTATGAGTGTATTGCCTGCATGTATGTGAGTGCACCCATGTCGTGCAATGCCGTGGAGGTCAGAAGAGGGCTTCGGATTCCCCTGGAATTGGAGTTAAGGATGGCTTGTAGCCGCCATGTGGGTGCTGGGAATCAAACCCAAGTCCTCTGCAAGAGCAGTCAGTGCTCTTAACTGCTGAGCCATCTCTCCAGCCCCAAAAGTGAACTCTTGACTGTCATTTTTATAGTGATCTTTGCATTTGACATTGTGTGTGTGTGTGTGTGTGTGTGTGTGTTCGTGTTCACAGGGTTGTACAGCCATTACCACTATTTAATTTCAGAACATTTTCTTTATCTCTAGAAGGAATCCTATACCCTACTCCTTTTTCTTTCCAGCTCACTGAATCAGTATTTTCAGTGTCTGTTCTTGATGTCTCATCTGAGTTCTCAAACAGTATGTGATCTTTTGTATCTGGCCTCCTTCTCTTAAGGTTTAATCATCTTGTAGCATGTATCAAAACTTCATTCCTTTCTGTGTTTATTGTTTCAATTGGTGGATCATAGGGTAATTCTGTGCATGACACTGACCTGTCAGCTGTTTTCAGAAGCAGCTCTGCTATTTTTTAAAAATATTTTATTTATTATTTTTATTTTTTATGTGTATGCGTGTATTACCTGCATGTAGGTAAGTGCACCCATGTCTTGCAATGCCCACAGAGAACAGAAGAGGCTGTCAGATCCCCTGGAACTGGAGTTACGGACAGTTGTTAGCTGCCATGTGGGTGCTGGGATTCAAACCCGAGTCTTCTGCAAGAACAGCCAGTGTTCTTAACCGCTGAGCCATTAAAAAAAACATTAAAGCTCTGCTATTTTACTATCCCCCCACCGCTGAATGAGGGCCTCAGGTTCTCTATATCCTCACTAATACTTATTTGCTCTTTTAATTACCACCATCCAGTAGTTATGAAGTGGTTTCTCCTTGAGGTTTTGATTTACATTTCCCTGATGACTAATGATGTCATAATTCATTTGGGTTGCTATGACAAAATCCCATAAACTACGTAGCTTATAAACAACAAAAATGTATTTCTTCATTCTAAAAGCTGTAAAGTCCAATATCAAGTTACTGGCAGGTTTGGTGTCTGGTCTGGGACTCTTTCTGGTTTATGGACAGTGCCTTCCTGCTGTTTCTTCATCTATTGAAAGGGATGAGTTCATTTTCTGGGGCCTCTTTATAGTGACATTGGTCCTGTCCATCCTCAAAGCCCCACCTTGTGACAGTACCATGCATTTAGTAATTAGGTTTCATACTTTATCTTAGCTCAAAGGCTGGGAAGCAATGATGATTAGGTTTCAACATATGAATATTTTACTTTAGAGTTTGGAAAGTTGGCAAACTCAATAAATTAGAAGTAGAATTGAAAATAAATTGACTAGGACATTTGACTTTTCATATCATTCTGAAGCTTTTTTTCTTTTTAGTATTATATCAAGAGCTAACTATGTAGCCCAGGCTAGCTCTGACTGTGTGATTCTCCTGCCTCAGCTCCTGAGGGCAAAGATCATAGGCATGCTTGGCTACACCTGACCATTCTAAAATATGTTGAAGTTTTTGTTTTCAAAAATCTTCAGTTTGAAGGCTCAATAAGCTACTTTTAACCTCCAAGTTGTAAGCTACAATGAATTTCTCTTAGTTTTGAATTTTTAAAAATACAGACCTGCTGGGCATGGTGGTGCACGTCTTTAATCCCAGCACTGGGGAGGCAGAGGCAGGTGGATCTCTGTGAGTTCAAGGCCAGCCTGGTTTACATAGTGAGTTCCAGGACAGCTGGGGCTACAGGGAGACCTTGTCTCAAAAAAAACCAAACAACAAAACCCCCATAAAAATACAAACCCTTCCTCAAAATAGTAATCTGGGCTAGGACAGAATTAAAATTGGGATTGAAAGTAAATATAAAGGCCAAACTGATGATGCTGATGAAGTTTTTTTCTTTCTTGGTTTTTTTTTTTTTTTTTTGGTCTTTTTGAGACAGGGTCTTCCTATAGCTCCAGCTGACCTGGAACTCACTATGTAGACCAGACTGGACTTGAAATCACAGAGATCTGCCTGCTTTTGAAGTTTATCTCTTATGTGTATAAATCTTTTGCTTGCATTTGTCTTTGTGGCATATCTGTTGACAGTTCCTACCGCCAGCATAAAACCTGAGTTTGTTTGCTGTCCAGTCCATGGAAGTTGTGTACTATAAAGTATACTGGATTGTCAGAGACCAACATAGTATAGCTAATGTGTTTGGTACAAAAAACTTACTAAGAAGTAAGCATCCTGTCAAGCCTGTTAAAAATGGTTCTTTTGTAAATACATAATAAAGGGACTTTCTGCATACTTGAATATCTGAATCTGGTGCTTTAACCAAGAATTTTCTAGGTTTGCTGATGAAAATTTGTTGGTAAGATCCTGTCCCGTCCAAAAAGCATACTTCAGAGTGGTGTGATTAAACAAATGTCATAGTCAATGTGTTTCCTAATTCTGCATCTAATTTGTTGAGTTTGCCAACGTTCTAGGAGTTTAAGAGATATATAGTGTCCTAGTTTGTTCTTCATTGCTGTGACAAAACACTCTGACCACTACCAACTTGGAGAGGAAAGGGTTTATTTATCTTACATCACCCTGGTCACAGTTCATCAGGGAGCCCAAGGTAGGAATGCAGGGCAGGAACCTGGAGGCAGGAGCTGGAGCACAGGCCTTGGAGGAACACTGCTTACTGGCTTGCTCTCCTGGCACCTGCTCAGCCTGCTTTCTTATGCAACACAGGCCCACCTGCCCGGGGATGGCACCACCCACAGTGGGCTGGGCCCTCCCACATCACTCATGGCCACAGGCCCAGTCCAATGGAGGCAGTTCCCCAATTGAGGCTCCCTCAACCCAGGTGTGTGAAGTTGACACTAAAGCTATCCAGCACATAGAGTTTTAGTTAAATAGTTCCTTGTGTCTTGTTGTATATTTGTATAAGGAATTTCCATTTTTGATGTTGAAAGAATGATGTTTTAAGGCATTTTAAATCCATGAATTTGTGAATACTGCGGTCATATTTAATGTCTCATTCAAAAGCATGAAGTGTGTATGATGAAAAATAAGAAAATCAGTTTCAGAAGATAATAGAAAGGCAATGAGTCTGCTAACCAAACACATGACTTCCGTCTGCATACTGGCTGGTCTCAGTGGCTGGGTCCAGCGAACACTGCACATTGTTACTCATCCTGGTGTTTGGAATAGATAAAATGGTAGAAATGTGGAATGACAAGTGCCAAGAAACTGTTCTATGTCAGCATTTATTATTTATTTAAGTAATAGTCATACATTCCTAATTAGGAGGGAGATTTTTTTCAGAGGCTTTTCTTTATCTTTTCTTCCCAAGAAGTCATGAAAGCCCATAAAGCATTTTGATCATTTTTTAAGTTCTAGGGTTTGGATATGTGCCATGTGTTCAGCCCACAGGGCTTTTGTTGCCTAGGGGTCTCGATTGAGTTAGTTTTTTCCCACCAATTTAAGAGGCAGGAAGAATCTCAGATATAGCAGGCAACAAACTTTATTAAAAGTGAAGAAACATGGGGCTGGAGAGATGGCTCAGGAGTTACGAACACTGTTCTTGCAGAAGACCTGGGTTCAAATCCCAGCACCCACATGGCAGCTAACAACTGTCCATAACTCCAGTTTCAGGGGATTCGACAGCCTCTCTGTCCTCTGCGGGCATTGCATGACATGGGTGCATTTACCTACGTGCAGGCAATACACACATACACATAAAATAAAAATAAAATACAATTTTTTTTTTAAAGTGAAGAAACAAACACTCACAGAGACACTTTCCATAAGCCAAGAGGGGATTCAGAAACTGAAATCCAAAGTCCATAGGAGGACTGGGTCTTTTAAGCAGTGTTGGTGATACTGGGTGGGCCCGCTTCCCCTAATTTTTGATTGACCAATTTAAACAAAGAAGAGAGGGCTCATAGGTCCACAGCCCCAGGCTATGTCCAGGTCTTGCCTTGGGCTTATCTAGACTGGTCTGGTCTGGTTAGCAGTAGAGGGTCTTGCCAGTGGGAAAAAAAGCTTCCAGGCCTTTGTCTTTGGTGAGGAAGCCAGAAGTTTTCCATCTTTAGTATGAGTCAATGACCCTCTTCCTGGCTGTCTGCCAGTGCTGCTGGGAGATGGCAGAACAGCTGGGACTCAGAGAAAGTAAGGTCATTGAGGTGTGCTCTTGAAGAGATACTGGAATCCTAGTCCCTCCCTCCCTCCCTCCCTCCCTCCCTAGCTACCAAGAGAGCAGCTTTCTTGTCCATGTACGCCCACCACAGTATGCGTTACTACAGGCCTAAAGGCAGTGGGGTCAGCTCTGGAACTGAACCAAAGTCAACTTTTCCACCTTTTCAGGTCTCAGATACTGGATCCAGTAACAAAACGATTGACGGAACTGAAAAATAATGCAAACTTCTTTTCTAGATTTATGAATCAACTATCTTTGTATCTTGGAATTTTGAGATTCATATTTCACTTCCTAGTTTTATTTAATTATGTAGATTTTTACTTGTTGCCTAACTGTAACATAAATGCTCCTTTTAGAATCTCTAGGGCTGCGTAGTAAAGTGCTGAGGAGTATTGAAGAGCTCAGGACCAATATGAAATCCCTTTCTTCCGGAATTCCTGATGAATTTATATGTCCGATAACTAGAGAACTGATGAAAGATCCTGTCATTGCATCAGGTATGTGTGACAGTACAAAGCTGTTAAAATAAGTAATGGGGACAGTTCACAGCAGTTTGTTTAAATGTGAAGGATTTGAAAATTCCTGTTGTATTTCTTTTAAGTAGGTTTAAAAAAATCAGATCCAAAGTGAACGGATCAGAAGAATTAAGTTTAACAGTTTCACCTAAATTTGTAAAATGTTTGGTTATCAGATGTGAAGATTGTGTGTGTGTGTATGCATGTGGATAGGTAGGTGTGCACACATGCAAAGGCCAGAAAAGGACGTTGGGTATTTTCCTCTATTCGCCTTACTCATTTAAGACAAGTTCTCTCTGAAACAGGAAGCTCAACGCTTATAGATTAGGCTAGGCTGGGTGCCTGGCTATTGAGTTCCCAGAATCCACTTGTCTGCCCCTGATGATAGAGTTACAGGCACGCACAGCCATGCCAGGCTTTTTATGTAGGTGTTGGGAATGTGAACTCAGGTCCTGATACTTGTACAGCAAACTCTTGCTCATTGAGCCATCTCCCCAGTCACCAAGATATCTTTGAGGGTAGATTGTTTAGATCACTTACATTTATTTTCTGTCATTAATGATTCAGAAATAAGGATGAAATTAGAATATTCTATTTCAATTTCTGGTCCTTAGTGTCTAGACATGCCCAGCAGAGTGTTTATGATTGATTTATCTTATTGCATGTGTCAGTAATTAATTTCTTTTTATTGATGAGTAGTATTCCACTGCACTAGATATACCATAATCACTTATCCATGAACTGGTAATGGGCTTTTAGGTCTTTTCCAGTTTGTGGCTATTATGTCTGAAGCTGCTGTGATATTCATGTAGATCTTTGTCGGACTGGACCCATTTCTCTTGATAAAGTATTTAGGAATGGGATTTCTGCATTGTTTACTAAGTGCATGTTTAAGATGGCTAAAATTTTTCTCAAAGTGCATGTACCATTTTAAGTTCATAGCTGAGAATGTCAGTTTCTCCACATATTTGTAAACACTTGGTTATTACTAATTCTTAGTTTTGTCTAGGTGTGAATACTAGGTATGAAGAAGCATTTCCTTGTACTTTCAATTCAGTCCCACCCCACTAATGATAATCTTTTCATGTGCTTATTTATTGTGTCTTTTTTTTGGGACAGGGTCTCCCTGTAGCCCCAGCTGACCTGGAACTCACTTTGTAGACCAGGCTGGCCTTAAACTCACAGAGATCTGCCTGCCTCTGCCTCCCGAGTGCTGGGATTAAAGGTGTGTGCCACCGCGCCCAGCCCATCGTGACTTTTTTGTAAACATGGACCATCTAACCTTTACTTCATTTTGTAATGGGGTCTCAGATTTTTAATCTGGGTGTGTCTTTTGTAAGGTAACATATATCTTTTCTCTGTAGTTTGCATCATTTTCTTAATAATCTTTGAAAATAAGTTTTTAAAAAAATTTTTATTATTTTATTATTTTTATTTTATGTGTATGAGTGTTATGCCTGCATGTAAAGTGCACCCGTGTGGTGCAACACCCATGGAGGACAGAAGAAGCTGTCGGATCCCCTGGAACTGGAGTTACGGACAGTTCTTAGCTGTCACGTGGTGCTGGGATTCAAACCCAGGTGTTCTGCAAGAACAGTCAGTGTTCTTAACCGCTGAGCCATCTCTCCAGCCCCTTGTTTATTATTTTTATTTTATGTGTATGAGTGTATTGCCTGCATGTATGTGAGAGCACCCGTGTCGTGCAGTGCCGCGGAGGTCAGAAGAGGGCGTCGTATTCCCCTGGAACTGGAATTAAAGATGGTTCGTAGCTACCATGTGGGTGCTGGGAATCAAACCCAAGTCCTCGGAAGGAGCAGTCAGTGCTCTTAACTGCTGAGCCACCTCTCCAGCCCTAAAAATAAGTTTTTAATTTTGATTAAGTTCCATTTATTATTTTTCACTTTAATTTTTGAATTGTAAGAAGACTGTCTATCCAAGGTTTCTAAGATTTATCTTGTTTTATTCTGGGCATTTTATAGTTTAAACTTCATATGTAGGTCTATAGTTTTTTTCAAATTAATTTCTATGTATGGTATGAGATAAAACTTTTTTCCTGAACCCTAAGTGGACATCTGGGTGTTTTTTCATCACTTACTGAGAGATGGTTCCCAGTGGATTACTTGGGCATCTTGGTTGGAAAGTACTTTCATAGGTTTCTTTCTGGGCTTTGTGCTGATCTTCATGTCTGACCTTGTGTCAGGTACCAAGGTGCTTGATTGCTGTAGCGTTATAGCAAATCTCAAAATCAGGAAATGTGAATCCTCAGATTTGGTTCCTACATTTAGATTTTAGAGTCACTTTCTCAGCTTCACAGAGGAGCTTTCCAGGATTCAATTAGGATGGTATTTAATCTGTAGATGCACTTGAGGTACCATTTGCCAGTTACTTAGGTCTTCTTTCCTTTTTCTTAGCAGTGCTGTGTTTTAGTGTAGATTTGCACATCTTTTGCTAAAATTACCTTTAATTTATATTTTACAACACTGTGGTTTTAAAATTTTCATGTGTTTGTAAACAGGAATATGATTGGTCTTAAATACTGGCTTTGTGCCCTGTGACCTTATATTCATTAGTAACAGCTTTTGAACAGATGCTTAGATTTTTCTACATAAGTGACTTTTATTATGTCATTTGCCAGGAGGCAGCTGGTTTCTTCTTTCTGATCTGAATGTTTTTCTTTTTCCTGTTTCTTGTTACACAGGCCAGGATATCCAATATAAAGTTAAAAAGGGTAAGAGACATGTTTCCCTTGATCTTCTCTGAGATCAGTCTTTAAGCCTTCAGATGATATTAGCTGCTCTCTAGCAAGTTAAAATTTCTCTTCCCT